AGGTATATACTTTTTTATTCAAATATACGAGGATGATATTTTCAATTTTATTTGGTATGCATTTGTAGCAACAGCATGATAACATTTATTTGTTTTTATTTGCGTTTTATATTCATATTGATAATTCACGTTTTGTCTTGGATAATAAAGCACGGTTATGCATAATAAATTGTATGCATAATAAATATTCACTATCACTGTATGAGGTAAGAATCAACAGCTTTTTATCACATTTACACAACACTTTATGAATAAAAGTCATGAACAAATCTTAAATATGGCAGGGAATGTGTTTACTTTTTTAGTTTTGATTTTGAGCAGCAAATTTGGAGTTACATATTGGTGCTCACCAGGAATGCAGAGGCAAAATTGCACAAGTTTTCACTTGAAAGAATAGTGGCGATCTTGGGATTTTTTTCTGTTCAATTTTCAAACTGTGTAAATTTAATACACTTCATCTTCAGCATGTTTAGTGCCACTTTTGTAAGTAACCACGCCCCCGTCCAGGCCACGCCCCCGTCCAGGCCACGCCCCTTCCGCTTTTTTCATCACTCGCCATTGCCATGTATGAGCTATAATGAAAACACATCTGTTTATTGTCTTCAAATTACCCCGATGATGTTTTCACACTTCACAACAGTTACTGCGGGAGACTGCGAAAGCCGTGGCCGCGTACTTGACGAATGAGTCTGTGAAATTGATATGCATGTGGCTGTTGAAGGAATAATAGGCTGTTGTCCTTCTCGTACAGTAGCTTCAACTCCATACTTGACCTTAAAACGGGTTGTCCGGTTCCGCTAAAACTGCCATTCGGATTCTATCCTCGTTTACGTCCGTTCAAGATTTGCGAGTTGACATCACCGTATTCTTTCTTGAGCTAGCTCAAAACAAAACCACCAAACAACAAAAACAGGAAACCTAATCTCCATCTAAAATGACCCATTAGTTTTTGTACAACAATCCCAAAGCACCCTGTTTCCCTTCCTCGGTGACAGTGCTCGTCAACCTTGTGTCTTCGCTACTTATTGGCTTGGAATGAAACCCGTGGCGGGCGGCAGCGGCATCCAAGGTCATCATCTTCATCCTGATGAAGGTGAAAACGAAATTAACTCAAGGCTCCGGGTGATAACCGTGAACTGTCTCTGGTCTCCGGACCGGCGTCCGCTGCACTTTGCGGGGCTTTTAATCAGTTGTGATCAAGTAAGCGCGTGTTGTCTGCTGCTGGCTAGCATTCTGTAATTAATTGTGTGTGTGTGAGACCAAAATACAGGAATAAAAAACCCTTTCCAGTGTAAATGGCTTTGCTGCACATATTCAATATATATATGCAAGAGAGCCATACTGCCGTTCTAAAAATCAATTTTGGTCTTATGACAGATATCTAGCTGGACGAAGAAGACTTGCTTTTGTTGATGGAGATGTTGTGTGTGGGATGCTTTGTC